CATGCCTGGTCAAGAAAAAAATTTCTTTTTAGAAATGGCTTTAGGCGTGCAAACAAAATCGGCATCTTTTATCAGCAAAAAACGCCCTTTACAGCTGGGTGGTAATGTATTCAAGTATTTTCAATAAAAGAAAATCGTAGAATGACTCCAGGATTAGTCTTGAGAGTTTGGCGTCCTCGCGCGGTCCACAATTTTAAAGAGACTTAAAGTTCGCTCCATGATGATTCGTCTGGCTGCTCTAGGAATTTTGCTGGTGACTTTTATTGCAAGCATCGATGCTTTCCCCAAAAATAGGCTTGATGCACGAGGTAGGTTTAATCGTAAAATTGATAATTGTTTACCCATATCGAAAATTTTGGCGTCAAGCTTTTCCCATCAGCAGTTACGCCTCTCTTCTTGTTTGGAATGATACTATGCATTAGCAAACTTCAAGACACTTCTACCGCGCTCTGCAGCCGAAAATTTGAATTTTGCTTCCTGCGATTTCACTGGATGCAAAATTTTGTTCAGGTCTGAGCTCAAATCATCCAAATTGTGATCTGGATTAAGAACGAGATAAATTATGCAAGCAGGGTTAAAGTCACCGTTTCTAAAACAGCCAAGGCTACCTCTTTTGCTTGTTTAATAAGATTAAACTGATTTCATAGTGTGCAGTAAGCATCAAAAATGTAGTTGTGATTTAATTCTTTGCTCAGTGGCATCTGACGAAATTGAGTTTTAATTGATTTAGAGTAGTTACGTCAACAAAGAAAATATTCGAAGAGTTTTATACACCCCTCTACCTATAGGTAGCAGTGACTCGCCAAATAAGATCAAATACATGATTTGCAAACAAAAATTGGAAGCAACCCCACACGATAAACTTAGGCAAAGAACATTCTTAATGCGTGTTAAACCGGAAAGCTTCCATGCGCTAAGCTTTGTTAGCTGTTGATTTTAATAAGCAACTTCTCTTAAAAAAAAAAAAAAAGGAAATGACGATTTAAACAGTGATCACTTGCTAAAAAAATTTTGACTTAGGTACTGTATTTTTCCATTGAAATGCTATGAAGCTTGAAGTTAAAAATTGTCTCAGCAAAGCTAGTCTGTTCTTTTGGGTGTGTCGAGCTCTTTGCAATTTCTATCATATCATGGTTGAATTATCAGGAGGGTCGCGTTTTTGGAGGACTGGAACGAACAACATAAAAGATTCAGGGGTAGGGTGGGTGGGGTGGCCACCAGAGCAAACGAATGACCAAGAAGGCAGTGGTCCCAATCCGTAGCGCTGGCTCATTTCGGGTTTTATTACATCAACTTTGAAATATCAATTGGCTCTCGTAGAAAGATTTATTCAAAAATTGCACTACTTTTGGCGTTAAATCACAAGCCATCGTATGGCAAACCTTGTAACTTTTTTTAGTCCCCAAAACTTTTCGTTTTCTTTAACCACTTTTTTTTTTACAAACCTGCTAAGTAAAGGATCAATAAAATATTTGTAATCACTAAAATCCTAATACCCAAGTAATGCTAGTAATGAATTTAAATATAAATCAATAATCAAAAATCGCGAAAACAAGCTCAGAAAGGTAAAGTCAGGAAATAAAAGCTTGCTTTAAAATTTAGAGGAAAAGTTGTGACATTTGAATCCAACCTGAAGACTCATTTATTTGATCAAGTCTTTAATTAGTCATTAGGTTTTTGCTTAATACTTTTAGTAAGTTGTTTCAGTCATCTTTATATTATTTTATTTATCCATACAGCTGTACAGCGCTCTGAACTCTAGCATGGGCGCTATAAAAGTCTTGTATTATTGTAAGAAATATACAACGTTTTTTAGAGACATTTTTCGGCATGCTTATGCCATCTTCAATCAATGAGTAACTGAACGTGAGTAATTATATAAGAGACAAGTAGATGAATAAAATATTTACAGTATGATGTAATACAAAAGCGGGTACTAATTACAGCGTGCCAACAAACATGAAATTAAAGGTGTGAACTAAAATTCTAGAAAAGTGTTATAATGCTGTAATTGTTTGTTAAGTTCAGGTTTGATCTTATTTATATAAAAAGCTTCTTTAAGTTTTAAATCAATTGAGTTGTTGGCAGAATCCAGAATACTAAAGCAAGAAAGGAAGTATTTGTTCTTACAAGAAGGAGATGTGTTAAAATGCTTAAAAATATGCGAGTTTGTAATTAGTACCCGCTTTTGTATTACATCATACTGTAAATATTTTATTCATCTACTTGTCTGTTATATAATTACTCACGTTCAGTAACTCATTGCTTGAAGATTGCATAAGCATGCCGAAACATGTCTCTAAAAACATTTGTATATTTCTTACAATATTTATCCTACTTGCTTACCAACGTTTTCTGCCCCTAATCATAGCTAACTGTTAGAGCTAAATTTCGGTTCCCTTTGGCTCTTCTGTTGATCGTTGGGATAACGTTGAGTTTGATGTTAAGATACACTCTGAACACTGATAGGAAACATTACTCCATGCTTTGTGTTATTCAAGTTAAAAAAATGTATTTCTTGTTATATTGAAGGGAACCTTAAAAGCGATAACCCAGTGCATGGAAGACAGTCATACCCGAAGGATGTAGATCGGCGCCTGTTAGAGATTGAAAAACTTGAGAAGATGATGGATGAGGTAGAGAAAGAGGAAGAGAGCAATGATGAAGCCGAGGAAGAGAATAAAGAGGAAGAGAAAAAAGAGGTAGTGGAGAAGGAAGATGAAGGAAAAAGAGAGGAAGAGCAGGAAGAGGATGAAGAAGAGGAAGGAAAAGAAATGAGAAAAGGAGGGAAAAAAGGAAGAAAACGAAAAGGAAAAGGAAAAAAAGGAAGAGGAGGAAAAAGGAAAAAGAAGGAACAAGAGGAAGAAAAAGAAGGGGAAAAGGAGGAAGAAGTGGAAGAAAAGGAGGGAGAAGAGGAAGAAGAAATGGAGGAAAAAGAAGGCGAAGAGGAACAAGAAGAGGAAGAGGAGGAAGGTGAAAAAGAGGAGGAAGAGGAAGAGGAAGAAGGTGAAGAAGAGGAGGAAGAGGAAGAGGAAGAAGGTGAGGAAGAAGAAGAGGAGGAAGAAGAGGAAGGTGGTGAAGAAGAAGAAGAGGAAGAAGAAGAAGGTGAAGAGGAAGAGGAGGAGGAGGAAGAAAATGGTGAGGAGGAAGAGGAGGAGGAGGAAGAAGCTGGCGAGGAAGAAGAGGTAGAGGAAGAAGAAGAGGGCGAAGAAGCTGAGGAACAGGAAGAAGAGGAGGGTGAAAAAGAGGAGGAGGAAGAGGAAGAAGAAGGGGAAGAAAATGAAGAAAAGGAAGAAGAAATGGGAGAGAAGGAAGAGGAGCAAGAGGAGGAAGAGGGAGAAAAAATGGAGGAACAAGAAGAGGAAAAAGGTAAAGAGGAAGAGGAGGAAGAAATAGAACAAGGAGAAGAGGTGGAAGAGGAAGAGATTGCACAAGGCAAAAAGGAAATGGAGGAAAAAATAGAACAAGGTAAAAAAATAGAAGAGGCAGAGATAGAGGAAGGTGAAAAGGAGGAAGAAAAAGAAATAGAAGAGGGCAAAACTCAAGAAGAAAAAGAGGTTGAAAAAGGTGAAGAGGAAGAGGAAAAGGAAATAGAAGAAGGTAAAAATGAGGAGGAGAAAGAAGAAGAGGAAGGTGAAAAAGAAGAAGAGGAGGAGGAAGAGATTGGTGAGGAAGAAGAGGAAGAAGAAGAAGAAAAGGGAGAAGAGCAGGAAGAGGAAGAGGAGGAAGAGGGAGAGAAAGAAGAAGAGAAGGAAGAAGAAAAGGGAGAGGAGGAAGAGGAAGAAGAAGAGGAAAAGGGTGAGGAGGAGGAGGAAGAAGAAGAAGAGGCTGGTGAAGAAGAAGAGGAAAAAGAGGAAGAAGAAGGTGAGAAGGAAGGGGAGGAGGAAGAAAATGAGGGTGAGGAAGAAGAAGAGGAAAAAGAAAAGGAGGGAGAAAAGGAGGTAAAGGAGGAGGAGGAAGAAGGTGAAAAGGAAGAAAAGGCAAAAGAAGAGGAAGGTGAAGAAGAAGAGGAGGAGGAGGAGGAGAAAGGTGAGGAAGAAGAGCAAGAGGAGGAGGAGGAAGGTGAAGAAGAAGAGGAAGAGGAGGAGGAGGAGGAGGGTGAAGAAGAAGAGGAAGAGGAGGAAGAGGAAGGTGAAGAGGAAGAGGAAGAGGAGGAGGAGGAAGGTGAAGAAGAAGAGGAAGAGGAGGAGGAGGAAGGTGAAGAAGAAGAGGAAAAAGAGGAAGAAGAAGGTGAGAAGGAAGGGGAGGAGGAAGAAAATGAGGGTGAGGAAGAAGAAGAGGAAAAAGAAAAGGAGGGAGAAAAGGAGGTAAAGGAGGAGGAGGAAGAAGGTGAAAAGGAAGAAAAGGCAAAAGAAGAGGAAGGTGAAGAAGAAGAGGAGGAGGAGGAGGAGAAAGGTGAGGAAGAAGAGCAAGAGGAGGAGGAGGAAGGTGAAGAAGAAGAGGAAGAGGAGGAGGAGGAAGGTGAAGAAGAAGAGGAAGAGGAGGAGGAGGAAGGAGAAGAAGAAGAGGAAGAGGAGGTGGAAGAAGGTGAAAAGGAAGAAGAGGAAGAAGAGGAAGAAGAGTCAGGTAAAGAAGAAGAGGAAGAAGAGTCAGGTGAAGAAGAGGAAATGAAGTAGAAAGAAGGCAAATCAAAAAAATGTTAACCAAAGGATTCCAAAGTTTCCACAAGAAGCAAAGAATGAACTTGACTCTTGGCCACAAACTTTTGCAAATATCTAGTGAACATTATGAACACTGCCAGAAATAGTATTCACTAGTTTGTTTACAGCACGACAATTTTAAGCCAAAGACATGTGTCAGAAGGTAATAGAGTCACTTTCTGCACTGTCTTTACCTGCACATCTGTTAGAGTGATAGCACATTAATGGGGCTCAATTCTAAGACAAAAAAATCCATGGATAGAGTGAAGTTCCAGCATCTTAGTTATGTCAAATGGGAGAGACAGGTATGAGCTACATTACACTAATTTGAGTCTTGAAAGTGTAAGTCAGTAACTGCTATTTGTCTCTATTCATAACACCTGGAATTGAGATCATGGGACTCCACTGTATCCACTAATTGAAACAGTTGTGATTTTTGGAATAAATGAAGAACATCCTCAGCAGTTGATTTAAGAAAGACAGCTCTGTCAAATTCAGTGAGGATGTTTAAAGACTTCCAAGATGAACATCACAAACCTGCCTTTTAGCTTTTGAGATTTGCACAAGCTAATCAGTAAGTCAAATTTTTCTATTTTATTGACCAAGAATTGCAACTACTTATACCTAAGTCACATTAAAGAAACACAAACCAAACCAAAATTCATGGTACAGAGACAGGAACACCTAGCTATAGCCACAAAATACTTTCACTTTAGTTAAGTTCTCATTTAGACAAAAAAAAAAACAACTAAAACAACAAAAACCCCTCTATGTTTGGGCACTACTCATCTTCTTTGAAAGATCTTTTTAGCAGATGGAGGATTAATCCTGGAACTGCTTATTGATGAAACTTTTGCTTTAGAGAAATGTTCACTTTCTTAATAATATAAATGAAAACATTTTTAAATAAGTAACAACATGATTTCAAGAGTAATTTGGTGAAAACAAGCACTTGTCAACTTTTTGAAGACTATAGATTGCTCGAGCACGTTTTGTTGTCTTTGAAAAATTTACTTATACTTTTAAACCAAATTGCAGGAAAAATTAAGTTACTAACCCTCAGCAATACTTACGCTGGTAAAAACAAAAACATTTTGCAACCTCCAGCTGCTTTTGTTTTGAAAATTGCAACTTAATTTGTACTTTTTTTAACTTCCTGAAAATTGTTTGTAAAATAATTAAATGACATTTAGGAGTGAAAAATGGACTGTTTCTTTTTTGTAGCAAAAAAAAAAACTGGGAGATTATGGTGGGAAGAACATGGCAACATTTGAACATATGCAAAATAAAAAGCCAAATCTTGAAAAGAGGATAAATTTAGAAAAGGCACATCCCTCATACTAAAGGAGCTCATTGCAGTTTAAAAAACATTAGGGGACAAGATGTTTTCAAAAGAGTCCTAAGTCCAAGGCAGGTTACCTCAAACCCTTTTTAACAGTTTTTTCATGTACATTATTTGTCATTTTTTTAATACTTCTGGGTAGAGAACAAGCATTATCAAAGTAGAAGTTTTTGCCCAAAACACTCCACATTACAGGTAGTCAGATCTCAAAACCAAATCTATCAATCTGAAGTCCAAAAACACAGACATAAGGCCATCCTCAGGAAAAGCCATAGATGAAGTTAAAAATGAAATATTTTTAATACTTTGGGAAATATTTCCAATACCACAGTTTGTTTTTCCAATAGTAATCCAGCAGGGGTCATTGTCTTAACACAATCAGGGCTATGGAGAAACTTAATAAGACAAATTTCAAGGTTATCAAAGCCAATAAATGTCTAGAATGGCAAACCAAGGACAACCATGCACAAAATGTTCATTTTCCCACAAGAGACAATTCACAAAAAAGAACTTACACTGTAATTACTTAGTCCAAATAAACTAATTTCAAATTTTGTTACGCATCTTGCATCTTTCAGTTAGCTCGTGAGATGAAGAGCTCAAGTTCAATCTTTCATTTGTTTTTGCCTGGAAAAAAATTTGATCAGCGCAGTGTCATCACCCCAATTTGTTTGTTTATTAATCTAAAAATAAGTTTTGTGCTCTTGACAAATAGGAACATTAATGGAGAACAGGCTTAAAAATCTAACAAAATCATGGTTCAAATGCATTATGGGCTTTTGTTACCTGTCATGAAAAAAAAAAATGCCTCTTTGCAAGAGTTCATTGTAACAGATAAAAATATAGAGAAGTCTTGTATCTCTTACATCTTTATTCTTACCCTGAACTTAACTGTGGAAGACAGAAATTATAAAAAGAATATGATTTAAAAACATCATCATGGTTCTTCCACTGAACCCAGCCACTGTCTTGGAGTTCTGTTCTGACAGCCTCTCCATAGAAATGTGGATCCTGTAACAGATAAACCTTTTTATTCAGATAACTAATATACAATGACATTTTCAAAATCAACTTTGTTGCCCTTCTATATGAACCAAACAAGAAAGGGAAACAACGAGCCATTACTGACGAAAAAATATCTTACAGCAATTAAGAGGTGAAATCCTTTGCTTGTCTTGCAAATACCAAGCAGTGTCTTTGATGAAGCATCGACATCTCCACCTAAAAACAAAAATGAAATTGACAAAGTGAAGTATCTGTAGAAATCAAAAGTAGAATGGCTGGATAGAAAAATTTTTGGGACATTCCAAACTAGTGAGAAATGACCTTATTTTCCAATCAAATACTCTTCGTTTGTCCTAGGAGGCAGTCTATCCAAGTGGTTGGGGTCCTTTGGAACCATTTCTCAAATGCCCATGGGCCCAAAGCCATGTTTCAAAACCATAATTAAAGGATTAGGGAAGCAGGTTGTTGCATCCTAACTGATCCACTTGTCTCTTTAGCTGACAGTTTTATTTTATAATCTTCAAAACATTTGAAACCCACGTCTTGAATGAAAAAAGAAAAGCTTTACAGGCCCATTATGTCACTAGGACTCCTAATCTGGTTTTCCCTTGTTCAAACCCTTCATCCTGTGACTCACTAGATTAGTTCATAGATATCTTAAGTTCAACTCTTGGGCTGAGCTTTGTTACCAGCCAAATGGTCTGACTACTGTCAGTTAGGGTTGTTTATATCAAATATAAAGATGCTTCACATTAGCCTGGGAAGAGCCTTATCAGGGGAGTGATCAATTAAACAATTAAGTAAGAAAGCTAAATTAAACACATATGACCACTAGTCAAGTGGGTGAAAATATTAGAACATCCTCAAAGACGTGCATCATCATTGCTCTGCAGTAATGCAACCTACACAGTCAAGAAACCCTCATCACAAGGCATAATGGTAGGTGAGCCACATCCCTGATTTTGATGCAAATTGTTGGAAAAATTGTCCATCTTTTAAGAATAGCATCGCAGTGAAGTTTTGATAGAGATGAAAATTACAGTTTTAGTTATTAAAATCATAACCAATCAAACAACAACTTGCTTGGGTAGCTGATGATTACATTAAAAACTAACTTAACATACAAGGAGTTGTTGATGAACTTGTAAAGGTAACTAATGCTTGATCCACTAAAGCTCTATCATGAGGCATTAGAATCTGTTTAAGCACTAAGATGAAATCATAATAGCAATATTACCTTACCTATCATTACAGGTGAGCCAAATTGTTTAAAATGCCTCAGAAGAAGTGGTGCAGCTTTCTGCTCCACAGATTCCCCTTGTAGGATATGAATGACCTTACTGCAAACCTGAAACAAGATAACCAGCATTTGCCAATTATTTTACTACCACCCTTTTTTCTAGGGTCTTTTCAAAAAAGAAAACATTCATAACTGGAAATAAAATTTCAATTCCGTGGCAGACAGCTCAGTAAAGTATAGCAAGAAAAATTTGCAAAAAAAGGCTAAACTCTTTAGGTAATCTTCACCATTTGCCCACCAGATTTTCCATAATGCATTCATAACCCTTACCAAATACTTGTCTACAAGAGACTTTTTTGCTAAATTTGACCCTTTATTACCATACTAATTGTAAGAGATATATAAGACACATAGAAAGGTTTCTTGGCCTAAATTTTTAAGAAATACAAACAATTTGACTGTCAAACTCGAGTTTTGCCATCTTCTTGGCCAAGGCAAACCTTTAGGATAATTAGAGCCTGTTTTCATTTTTGTACCTAAAATTTGAATGCCAGTTAGCACAATCACTTTTATTACAACATTACTCAGAAAAACTGGAAATGCAAACCCGCCACAAGTAAAATAAACACCAAGAACATTGATAGTTACCTACTCCAAAAGTCTGATCCAAATAAAAACAGGCCTCTACACAGCCAATCCATTCTCTTGATCCAACAAAAGAATCTGGTTTGTCCCCCATTTCAACCAAAGTTTGCTGTATGTCTTGAAGGCTGGGTACTGGATGCTTTTGATTCTTTAATACATGACCCACCCACGAACAAATGGTCTGCAGTGTCCTGTATCCACACCCCCAACCCTTCAATAGAAGCACATAACATTTGAATGGTATATCAATATGACTCATTACTTGCAGGGGGAGGGAAAGGACAGCAACAAAAAGGTAATTAGGAGTGGTTAAGCAGGGTGGGAGGGTCAGCAAAACAAGCCCTTCACAAGGGAAGATCAGCAGGGAGGGAGGGTCCGTAAAAGAAGTCCTTCACAAGGAAAGATCAGCAGGGACAGGGGGTCAAAACAAGCCCTTCGCAAGGGAAGATCAGCAGGGAGGGGGGGTCAGTAAAACAAGCCCTTCACAAGGGAAGATCAGCAGGGAGGGGGGTCAGTAAAACAGACCCTTCATAAGGGAAGATCAGCAGTGGGGTCAGTAAAACAAGCCCTTCACAAGGGAAGATCAGCAAGGAGGGAGGTTTCAGCAAAACAAGCCCTTCAAAGGAAAAGATCAGCAGGGAGGAGGGGGTCAGAAAAACAAGCCCTTCACAAGGGCAGATCAGCAGGGAGGGGGGGGCAGCAAAACTAGTCCTTCACAAGAGAAGATCAGCAGGGAGGGGGGGATCAGTAAAACAAGCCCTTCACAAGGGCAGATCAGGGTATTTGAAATTGGCTATTTTCGTCGTTTTCCCTCCCCCTAGTCCCTTAAAGAGAACAGTATGGAGAGATTGTACTTACTGATGTTAGGGTGTAAAGAATTAATTAAAGTATACTTGAGGCATGAAATTTTCAAAAACTTGTGCATGAAATGGGATAAGGAATCCCTCTTTGCAACCCTATTTTTGTGTCCAGTCATTTCTCAAATTTAGGTATCCTTCATTTACAAGAAGAATCAACAACAATGATATTTGTTACCTAATGAATGTTTCTTCATTGGTCATCAATAACTGTTGCCACATAACAAAAAGCAGACTGATCAAAATAATCAATTTTTGTTGTTTCAGTCAAGCCCTAACCATGATTTGCTTGTTGCTATTATGTATATTATGATTTGACCATTGTTATTTGAATTTTATATATTTCACAGGAATTGTTAATTTAACTTATGATTAGTCCAGGTGTTTCTTTTCCTTTTGTTATTCAAACTTTCTTTTTTTTAAAAAAATTGACATATACATATGAATTTCGTTTTTCTCTCTGTGTTGTAACTGTTTTTTTGGTGTGAGCGGGATGAAAGAAGCAAAAGTTTGTTTTCAATGGTGTAAAAATATTAATGCTCGCATGCTACAAAAACGTATCACCTATAATTTTTTACCAAAACTGTTCCTCTCTATTCTCATCCAGTGTCAAATGATAAAGTTCACATTACAGAAGCTTGCATTTGGGTTATAGTAGTATCAACGCAGTTAACCAGTTTTTGCGAAAAGACTAGTCGAGGAAATGTTTTCAAAACTGAAGCATGACATTTATCGTTATAAATGAGATGTACACTTATGTAGCATTTTCCCACATGTTTGAATCTGAGTGATTCATGCGCGCATTATAGCACTTTCAAAAATTACTGAATAATCTGTGAGAAAAGTAACCTGTTCTAATTTTCAACTTCACTCACTCTATCATCGAAACCATCCACGTTGTAATGGTAAAATTCATACTTTCCCCGGATGATGGCAGCGTCAACAAATTCACCGGGAAACTCTAGGCCTTCGTGAACATCACTCAACATTTCTGATATCACCGCCCGCGTTTACCAGCGGTAGTGATCCAAAAATATATGCGCACACTATATGCGCATAGTGTTAAGAGAAAAAGTCAAGGAGAGGGTAGTGAAATGTCTCCCCAGGTAGGTGACATTCTTAGAAATTCCCAATTTAACCTCTGTTCCTCTCTACTTATGATTAATCTCCCGTTTTATGTAAAAAAATCTAGTCATAAATTATAAAGCAAGCCCAGATTTAAAATGTCTATGAAAATGTAGACTAAAATATCAATTAATATATCACTCACCCTCCCCTATTGGGTAACAAGATGCACGTATTTTTTACCACCGATGAGTTCGAACTTTCACTTCCCTGCACTATTTGTAGTCCGTGATAAAGTTGGGAAGTTTTCCTTCTGCCAACGAGAACAGCCGTCTTAACGGGATTTTTTTGACCAGGAATGGTCAATGCAACGTCTAAAGAAGTAGTTCCAGTAGAAAATGACGAAGAACCAACAATTTTGTGTGTCGTAAAGGACGAAACAACTGCCGATTCGACCCACAACAGACACACTGTAAATCTGCCAGCCTCTTCTCTTGTGAAAGATTTGTACACTTACGTTGCCAAACAAGTAAGCTATGTAGAAGACACCTTTCTTCTCGTGTGGAATAAATTCGTTGGTGGAGGGAACGAAGAGGTAGTTCTAAATGAAGAAAAGGCGAAAACTCTTCAAGAAGTCGGCCTGGCTGCCAACGGGAAAAAGAACAGTTTTCTGATCAAAGATAAAGATGGTGAACAACCGAAGAAAACGAAGGTTAGTGAACCATCAAGCCCTTTTCAAGCTGTTATTTGTCTTTGGTAATGAAATTGGACGATCTAGCTAATCGCGAGAAGTTTTGAGATCTTTTCTTTTGCGAAATCAATGAGAAGCTTCAATACAATGAAATGTATAAATTTACCTAGCTGAACTTCTGAATGTTATGTAGAATACGTAAAAAAAATTACGATAACGGGTATTTGCATTAAAAATAGTTTATCAACAAGTGCTTATGTCATTTTGGCGAAATGAAAGATATTAAATGATGTTTGCTGCCAGTTTTTGCGATGCATAGCGAACAGAAGATAGCATCACCACAGAAAATGTTACGTTCCTGTTGTTACATGCAGGAACTGATAAAGTTGATGTACAAGTTTCCGGTGCCTCTTAGATTATTGGGGTTTTAGTGGTTTACTCAAGGGTGTTTAATTAGATCTGTCATTCTTTGATTTACATAGAAGGATTGGAAAGCTTTAGATTAAAATTCGTTCTTTTAAAAAAATATAAGGAAAGATTTCCGTAGAACCTCATACCAGTCAAAAACAGAGCCTTAATCACAAAGGTAATCTGTTGTTTTGCCTCTGCTTTCTTTTATCGAAGAATTGTATACATAACGAAGTATGGGGTTATATGGAAATCTTGCCAAAAAACATATATACACTAGTTTATAGTTGAACCATCTACACTTACAGTAGATAGAATAATTTGAAAAGAAATGAAAATTTATAAAGGATCTTACACTCAGTAAAACAGTTTGATCTTTGGATTACATCTGTTGATTTAGTTCTGTAGTGTTCTCCAGAAGTAGTGTCAGCTAAACTATTGTCTCTTGATTCATTGAAGAATTGACAATCTGTCAACAATTACTGCATTTTGTGGGCAAATCTGATTATTTTTGTCAGGTTTGATGATAATGCCATTTTTCCAATTTAACCTGGTGACACAGGAACTGATTTTCAAAACTTTGATTTATATTTGATGATTACATTGAGATTGTTTCCAAAGAGAAAAAGGAAATGTTGTTTGTAGAAATTCTCTCACTGTCACCCAAAATGCACTTCAACAATCTATGTATGTTCAGCAACTCAATCATTGTACTCTTGTCAGAAAACTTATAATTAGAGAGTTTTTGGGCAAGAACTTTTTAGGGTCAAGATTTGATAACTTGTGCTCTCATTCATCTTTGCCATGAAGTGGTCAGAGATCAAGAAACAGTAAAGGGTGTGATTTATTTAGCTAAAATTTCCTTGGGTCTCAACCCAAAAAAATTTGTCTACAGCAGTGGTCTAGCTTGATAAGGTGGACTTTCTCATTGAAAGTTCCTGGTAGATTATCCATTCCATTTAGTTTTAAACCAAAATATTTTTTGTTGGATCAATTGGACCCTGATCGTAGAGTTAGAGTTTGTAAATAGGTGAAGATTTTTATGGCAACTTGACATTTATATCTTGTACTTTAATTAATATTGAAAGTTTTTTTAAGCTGTGGTTCAATGTATTGAGATTTAAAAATTTAATTAATAATAATAATAATAAAAGATTTATACTGTGTCAGTATCCTACTGTTCAAAGGCACCTACAAATACTTTAACATTAACACTTAGGACAGCTAATATTAATTATAAAAGGCATTTCTAAAAAGAAAAGTTTTTAATCTACTTTTAAAAACAGACACAGACTGAGCATTTCTAATTTCACCTGGCAAAGCATTCCATAATTATGGTGCTGCTACAGAGAAGGATCTTGCACCATAGAAGGATCTTGCACCATAAGTTATAGGATGGAGAAACCAGAAGGTGCTTGGATGATGAGCGTAGTTAACGTGATGGGGTGTAAGATGTAAGCAAATCACAAATGTACGACGGTGCCAAGTTGTTAAGTGCCTTGTAGATTATAAGTAAAATCTTAAAAATGATGCGTTGATTAACGGGAAGCCAATGAAGATTAAAAAGAGCAGGCGTAATGTGATCATGCTTTATTGTAAGTGTTTAATCTGATCTGTCTGATCTGTCTGATCTGTCTGATCCCCAGAGGACAGTTTGAAAAATGCAAGACCCAGGTCTGAGCCTGGATCACTGCTTTGTGTCATGCTCTTGAGCAAAGCATTTTCCTTTCTCAGTGCTTCTTTCTACTCAGGATTCCATTAAATGTCAACCCTTTAACTTCCAAAGGTGATCAATATGTGACTTCTCCATATGATATCCTTACATTATCTAGCAAATAGGTGATAAGAATACCTAAACCTATCAGGTAGAAGTTGCTGTCTAACTCTAGCACCAAATTCTCCAAGCTAATCTGCAAGGAAACATGTAGCAGCGAAAGGGGAGAATCTATTTAACAATCAGATCTTGGGAGTTAAAGGATTAACTGGCAAATTATCATGCAAATGTAAGCAAATTCATATTACTGATTCATTATAATTATGCCAATGAACTGCTGGGTTTAGGCAAATGAGAGGAACAATTAAGAACAGTTGTGAACATTTATTCAATCAACCAATGCTACAAAGTGTAATGTATAATTTTCAGTGGGCAGTGGTGACTGTAAAGTCACAAAAATCGGCTAAAAGACACATATTTTCAAAAGTGCTTCCTATATGCATGCACATCCATGACCTTTGGCTCCACAGAATGTGGGCTTGTTCTTTGCTAAAACACCACTTGTTTTGAACAGCCCAATAAATACTAATATGCATCTAATATTCTTGTGAGTTGTGCCCTGTTTGGACATGCATGAGTGATTCAATTGTTCACAACTGTTCTTAACTGTTTATGTCATTAGCAGTTAGTGCATATCCACACCGGTCACAACTTACCTTGTTACTTAATTTACCTGGTCACCTTTCAGGAGAATGATGATGATACAATTACAGGAAGTGTCACCAACCTGTTCCAAAGTAATACCAGCTCTTCAAGTAGTTATTATTCCTCTTCCAGTGATAGCTACACCTTGGGAAAGTCTGAAACAGGTGAGGGTCAGGACAGTTCTTTATTTATTTAGTCATGTAAATATGCATAATGTAAATATTACTGGATTTAAGCAACCACACTCTCCACTGTTTTCTGGTTGAATTTCAATTTGGATTGGGGGTGGAACTAAAGAAGCTTCTGAAGTGTCTGCCTTTGTCTGTTGCTACTAATTAACAATTATTCCACAAGCGCGTGTTGTATATGAGATGATAGATAGCCAACTCGGTGCTACGCACCTCGTTGGCTATAATCATCTCATATCCAACAAACGTGAGTGGAATAATTGTTTTATTAAAAACACTACACTAAATTATTAAATTTTATTAAATCTCTAGCTCCCTTTCAATTTTAAGCTTATGCGTATGCTTACCATATCGTAGTTTATGGTATATTGGCTCATATACCATAATGGCTAAGCCAATGAAAAGTCTTGAATTGCATTATCCAATGATCCAGTTTTTAATAATAGTACTTACACTGTTCTCTCTAATTCAAAACTGAGGCTGACTGTAACTAAGGTCAGGTGAACACCAAATCAATGCAGAAGTTTCACTACTAGGATCAGTGGCAGATCCAGACCTTGAGCAGAGGGGGTGGGGGCAGTTTCTTTGTGTGTGTACACAGGGGGGGGGGCAATTTTTTTTGTGTATGTACACCTGAGGGCTTTTCTTCCTTCTGTGTTAATTTTTTGACCCAAATAAGGAGGGTGCCTGGGCCCCTCCCCTAGATCCACCACTGAGGATGTTTAGGGTCCAACCCAGATTTGTAGGGGGGATTGCATGTGTTTTTGCCTGGTTTGCTTTCCTACTGAATGCAGGAGAATAGTAAAGGGTAAAAGGAGAATGTACCACAATAGTGGCTTGAAAAATTTCCAGTTTTGTGTACATTTTGAATGCCCTGGGCCTTAACCAATAATATCCTGGGTAGACAATTCTAATGATTGCATCATGATAAACTTCTCTGTTACTGATTATTAAGTCTAGCACTGATGAACTGTTTACTCTATTTGTTGACTACAGGGTTTGTTGGCCTTGTAAACCAGGCTATGACATGTTATTTGAACAGTCTATTACAGACATTGTTCATGACTCCAGAATTTAGAAATGCCATCTACAGGTTTGTGTTGATATTTCTCATGTAACTGTTAAACAAAATAATGTAACTTATAGTAATGATTCTTGCTGGTGTGAATGAAAAGAGAAGTTAATTTGTTGAGAGTAGAGGCTAGGGAGTTTTGTCTTGCCAGATAATTTCTAGGCTAAAGAATTGGAAATTATTGACTCTTCAGAACTTCCTAAAAAAGCTGTACTTGAAACTTCTTGGACATTTGAAGGAGCACCTACTAACTTTTTGGATTCATAGCCAGGAATTCTAGCATGTACTTTGTTTTTACTATATGCCTTGAGACATACTAAAGTCAGCAAAACACAAAATAAGAAAAGATTTTTAATGATTTGTATTTCATATCAACATTGTTTTCACTTTTTATTTGATGCTTCATATATATACATATAAATTTATTTAGCTCTATCATAATGACAATGATAGTGTTAATGTAATAGTTTAATAATGGAGTGATAAATACAAATAAAAATTTAACATGTTAGGTGGGAGTTCATTGGAAGTGAAGATGAAGAAGCTAAGAGTATTCCTTATCAACTTCAAAAGCTTTTCCTCCACTTACAGGTACCAGTGTTTGGATAAATTTACAATTTGTATGTTCAGCCCTTTGAACCCGGGAGAGGGACCAGCATCTAATTTCTACTAACAATATCACTCCTGAATCATGCATGTAGGTCAGGAGAATAAAGGAAATGATCAACAACTAAAGAAGCTCTGGATTGTTAAACAAATTCTCCTTGTACATACTTACATACATACATAATTGTGTTAATTGACCACTCCCCATGGGGGCTTTTCTGGGCCAATTCCCACCCAGCAACCACCCCAGGGGAGGACATCCATCACACAATTATCTCGTGCAAGGGAAATTAATGTCTCCTACCCTGAACCCTGCAGGAGATGGGACCTCCATTTATTCGTCCCTATCCAAGAAGACTAGAGTATCTAACCATTTCTTGATATAGAAAGGTAGCATATTCTTCTCACTTGTTTTAAGACCTTGAGTGTTGATCCAGCCAGGGCTCGAACCCTTGACCTCCCACACAACAGTCCAGCGCTCTATCTAATGAGCTAACTGTCACCACCTTAAGAAATATTTAAAGAATATTATGGAGATTGTGTACACCTATGTTGGGGTGTGAAGTGTGAATTGTCCAATTTATCCTGATGTTCAACAGTACAATCATTTTCTGTGAATACTGGTTACTATTACAACATTTTTGTCAGAATGAACGAATAGTGTCTTTTGTTTCAGACCAGCTCCAAAAGAGCTGTAGAGACCACTAATGTTACCAAGAGCTTTGGATGGGACAGTAGTGAAGGTATTGTCAAACTATTTGTTCATGATTGCAGACGACAATTTAGACAACCAGGGTTTAGTCATCATTCAGAGGCTGATGCGATTCAGAAAAAAGCTATACATAGGTAAATGTACCTGTAGAATTAAGGGGGTACTGCATCAGAATTAAAGGTGGTGCTGCGTTGGTGGGGATAACAGGTAATTTGGTAATATCAACGGAGTTGAAGTTGTAAATTGGCCACCGTGAAAGGTTTCAAGCGTAAGCCCTTGGTCATTCGCTCTGATGAAGGGCTAACACTCGAAAAGTCAGCTTTTTAAACCTTTATGGTGGCCAATTTACAATTTCAACTCAGTTCATATTACCAAATTACCTATAGCCGATTCATGTTGACGTCATTGTTTACATTTTTGCTCATTTGCATACGGCTTTGCGTAAACAAGGAAGCATGTTAGATACAAATTGACTTCAGGCAGCTAAAGAACTAGAAAACCTTAGTGTAACCGTGAGTTAATCGTACTTTGACCTTTCGATATTCAGAACTGATTTATTTTTAGCTCCATCAGAAACTGAATTGCTTATGCTAATGAGGCAAATATTGTAAACAAGGATTCCCCTATAGAATTAGTCATGTATAACTAATTGTAAGGACTTGATTTTTGAAAGAGTGATTTATGATAGAGCAAGAAATTAGGCAGGGCTGTGGTCCAGTAGTGCCCAGGGGCCCCTGGTGCCTTACTTTTGCTCTTGGACAATTCAGGAATCTTAGTTTTTTCATAAAAAGCATATGCTGGACACCCTGGATTTCACAGTTTCAGAGCACTGGGCTCCCTTTAATTTTTCTTACAGCACAGCCTTGATTAGGTTTGAAGTTATTATTCTTGTCTCTTATTCCAGCATGGCAACAGCATGATGTACAAGAGCTGTGCAGGGTCATGTTTGATGCTCTGGAAAGCAAGTTTAAAAATACTGATCAGGTAAAGAAATATTGTGAGTCATTAGACAGATAGATATTAAGTAACTTGAAAAGTAAATTTGAATACTAGATAAGTAGATAAAGAGTTGATGATTAATTATTTTAGATGGGGAATGTCTTGAAGGAGGGTAAACGAGGACAAAACAGTACTAAAGGAGCCTGCTTTCCTGGCTGTTTCCTGTAGCCCCCCCCTCTTCATCTTTCAATACCAGGGCCGGGTTGTTCAAAGGTCGGTTAAGTTAGCCCAGGCTTAGTGTGAACTTTGACTTAAGTTCTGAAAGCTTTAAAAAAAGATTCTGTTTAATTTCATTTGTCTTCAATTTGATGATTGAATGCTCTAAACAGAATTTGGAAAAATATCCTAAAAAAATGCCTTTTTTAACAGAGAAATATAGGAACCTGGATTAAAATTTAACCTTGGATTAGTGCTAATCAGTCTTTGAATAACTGGATAAAGGCTGATAGTTTCTAAAGAAACCGTTTGGGGCTGCGTTGGTGGGGGTAATGAAATAATTTGGATATATCAACAAAGTTGAAATGGTAAATTGGCCACAGTAACGATTACAAAAGCTGACGTTTCGAGCGTTAGCCCTTCGTCGGAGCGTCGTCGCTAACGCTTGAAACGTCAGCTTTTGTAATTGTTATGATGGCCAATTTACCATTTCAACTTTGTTGATATATCCAAATTATTTGAATAACTGGGCCCAGTGCTACAATAACATGTTTGGTGACATGTGGTTACAGTTGTTTTGTGATAATATTGTAAATTTGTGAGCTTAGTGGCAGCTTCAGAGAAATGCAGGTCCTGTGATTGATCCAAATGAGTTGATTGTATTTTGTTTGCTATGCTTACACTCATAATCATACACAGCCTTAAAAAGTGTTATTCATACAAACACATTATTTGCTATACTTTTTTTAACAAACAAACAGTTTTTTGTTGGTTTATCAAACACTTAATCAAGGTTTCTCTTTAAAAGGGTTTCAGAATTTTATGTAGTTACCCATTAATGAATGCACCCAATGGTTCATGAGTTTGGCTTAAGGGTTGTATTCCATTTTTCCATTTCCAAGGAACAAAGTATCTTTTATTTGCCTACAGGATGATCTTATTAACAAACTGTATCAAGGGAAGTTGAAGGATTATGTGAAATGCCAGCAGGTATACATTAAATTCTTTACGGTAGACAGAGTTCTTCTTTTCACATGTTAACCAGTAAAATTTATCACCTTCATTACCACCTAATATGGCTTGGAATTCTTGAAAAGTCAAAGGTCAGTGGATTGTTGGACTACTGGTTTGAAAATTTATTTGATATGTCATCCTTGAAATAATGGAAAACACTGAATAGAGTGCTCTCTTAGTTTTCACAGTCATCAAAAATAAATCTCTGAAAAGGAGAGCCTAATTGGTTTCTCTGTTACTTATTGTATCTTGCGATCATTGCTTTCATACAGACTGCTTTGGTCTTCCAAGTGAAGATCTCAAGTTTGAAAATAGAATCTCCTTGCCAAATGTTGTACAGTCCTTGTTACTAAATTCTTTCTATTATGATTAATTCTGCATTCTCATTTTTCATCAGAGAAGACTTTCATCTGATATGGTCTCAAATATCTTGTCAAATCTTGTGTGCTTTGACAATGCATTGATATTTTGTTAGGTAGAGTATTATTTATGAATCCTTGAAGTCAAAGTGCCATAAACAGGCACAGCTTTTAATAGAAAATGTTGGATGTAATTGTGAAAGTGGATAATTTGCCTTTGGTAGTGTAGCCATGAAAGTGCTCGGACAGACACGTTTCTAGACATTCCATTGGCAATCAGACCCTTTGGCTCTAAGCAGGCTTTGGGTAGTGTGGTAAGTTAACTCTTCCATTGTGAGTTAAAATAATGCCCTATCATCAAACATTCCTTTTTGCTAGACATCAAGAATTTCACTTGCAAATAACTCTAAGAGATGTTTAAAATTGTGTGTACCTGTACATATTAGTAATCATCACATGGTACAGACTAAGAAGACCAAAGCATTGAATTAGGGAACCTCTTAACCCTTGACCCCTTAGAGTGAGTCTGTGGAGGCGCGATGGCCTCATTGGTTAGTGCACTTGACTTTGGATCAAGTGGTCCGGGTTCGAGCCCTGGGTGGGGACATTGTGTTGTGTTTTTGGGCAAGACACTTTACTCTCACAGTGCCTCTCTTCACTCAGGTGTTTAAATGGGTAGCAGCAAGTTTAATGCTTGGGGTAACCCTGCGATGGACTAACATGCGATGGACTAACTCCAGGAGGGAGTAGAAATACTCCTAGTCGTGTCATGTTACGGAAACTGGAGTTAAGCACCAGCTTAATGGGCCGCTTGGCTCATAAGCAGGGTTTACCCACCTTAGAGTACATTGTTTATTGCATGACTCAGGCAGTCAGAGGGCCAATAACTAAAATCAACCAATCAAAATGCTCTATTGCCAGTCCAATATTCTCTAAGTATTGGACTGGGCACTGTCCCGAATGGTCCCGCATGATACCGCACTTGTGTCCCTTTGAACTTCAGTCGTATAATAAATCTCTTATTAACCAAGCTTGCTCGGGACCACACTGGAAGTATATCGGCCCTCAGTCTTTTTTGTACGGACTGAGCTTCCCTCAAGACCTTGAGTGACCTTGAGACTGTCAAGACCTTGGGCCAATATTCTCCCAGTACAGCCCTTGCACTTGGTTAATAAGATGTATATCTCTCCTAACAATAAAAATTATCACCTCTGAATGCAATTTAAGGTTTTGAGAATGAAGGAAATGATCACCAACTGAAGAAGCTCTTGGTTGTTCAATAAACAAATTCTCCTAAGGAAAGTTATAGAGCAAAAGTGTGGAGAACATGCATGCTGATGAAAGGGTGACTTTGTAAAATATCAATGTTATTTGAATTTTTGGATGATATCTAATTTTATTATCCTTAGGAACATGCCTTGGAGAATTTTGTTACTGCAGAACTCTTGGATGATGCAAATCAGGTAAATGGGGTGAAATGTTTTTCTTACCAGTGTATATCAGAAATTGTGCTTTTTCTTAGAAAAGCCTGTCAGTAGCAATTGATAGGCATAATCAATTATTCTTTTTTCACAGTATTTTTGCGAGAAATGCAACAAGAAATGTGATGCCCGCAAGGCAAGTAATTGGATCCATATCTGCTACATGTTTTGTAATTTACATTTAGTCTCCAAGAAGAGTTGAAGTTTATATCAAGGTTCAATTTTTGTTGGAATTTCTAGATATTATCATTTACTATTGGGCACAAAAATTAAAGAAAAAGTATTTGCTGACCCCAGGATACAAATAAAGAACTTCATTTACAGCTTTAAGTACCATGAGTGACTAAGATAGAATTTCTCCTCCGGTGACAATATCAAGACCATATCAAACAAACAAGAAATGAGGATATAGGAAATTTAAACTGGAAGGTTTTGAGTCAATCCAATACCAAATTCTTTGTACTAACTTCAGGAGAATTGTATAGCAGATAGTAAGAAGAATTACTAAATTAAATGAGATTGATAGTATTTATTTGTTATTATCCAACTTCACTCTGTAGAGTTCAAATAACGCCCAAAACAAGTACAAATATCATGCAGTATTTGTACTCCTGAGAACCGGTTAGACAGGTTTTCTTGCATCACACAAGCAACAAATTGGATTGAAGTTCCAAAAAAAATGGTAGACAATTTAAATTATTTTCCTGACGACAAAGAGTCAGAATGGCTGGCAAATGTTGATTCAAGTTTATTAGATAAATTGAACTAAGAAAAGCAGTCAGGCAACAGTGAAATTTCATCATTTACTGAAGAAAATAGAAACAGCAACACGACAACGCACCAACTCCATTCCACTTCAAATACTTCTGTCATGCACTCCCTGTAAATAAATATCCACAAAATTTGCCAGCCCTGAAATAACAATTTGGTGTGTTGGATAATAAATAACTTGTTAGACATTTTGATGTGTGGTATCGCTGAGTATTTTTACTCATTGTTTGTATTTTGACTCAACCAGTGGGCTCATCAAAAATATGGCACAACTCGTGAGAATACTCAGTGATGCTACACAACAAAACATCTAATAAGATGGTTTTTTTTTTTTAATACTTTAAGAATATTCTTTTTATTCTGTACACTATTCTTTTGCTTGTACATTTGTTGAAAATAATTCTGTTGTTATTTGCATCTGTCAGCATACTACATATTGCAGTTGTAGATTCACCATTTACTACTCGGACTAAGCATAATTTTTATGCATTTCTATCTTGGAAAGGTTGTCTAAACACATTGCTTCCCAGTGAGGTGAATTTTAACGGAGAAATGAATAGTGCCTTTGTTTTGTTCTTGTAGGGTTTGAAATTTTTATCCTTTCCATATCTTCTGACCTTACAACTAAAGCGCTTTGCATTTGATTATGCAACACTTCATAGAGTCAAACTGAATGACAGGTTTGTATTTTACATGGGCTGTTAATATTTGATTTAATGTACATAATATGATTTTACCAATATACACATGAAGATTTCATTTGTGTTGTTGACATTGGTTTGTTTTTCATTTCTCTTGAAAGAATGACATTTCCAAAATATCTCAATTTGAAAGACTTCATAAGTGAAGATGTGGAGGAGGTTAGTTTGTTGTACCTCTGTTAAGTGTACATGAACAAATTAAGGAATATTACTAGACAAGTATACAACTTGTATGGCTGCAGAATACAGAATGATATTTACGGTATTCTATTTGCATGAACAGTAGTATTACAATTTTATACTTCACAACTCTAATTTATAATGTCAAGAATGGTGCAGAAGAAGATGCTGGTCTAAAGGGGGACTCACCGAGTACATGTAGCACTGAAACTGACAGTGGGGTGAGTGAAGGCTGTTCTGATAATGGTACATCTACTGAAGAAGACGATGGGGACTGTGGTAGTAAAGGAAGTATTCAAGTGGATGGGACTGCCAAATTGAAGAATGAGGAACCAACTGAAGACATGTTAAATGGTGACCTGGCACAGAACATCAAGGTTAGATGGACTGTAGTCTTGGCTGTGCCTCCCCCTTCTTGTGTTGCTTTTCTTTTTCCAGCAAATCCTGTGACATACATTTGTTATTATAATATAAATTCAAATATTGCTAGGTTTTAATAGACAGTCATGAACATTGCTATGCCCTACATTCCTGGTTTAGATGAGTTTTGAAGATTGTGTTGAGTAGGAAATTACAGTCTTTCAGTGAAGACAAGTGTTATCTGCAAATTAGCAAGTGCATTATGGTCACTTGTAAGAGCAACACTTCAATGAAAAGTTTCATTTCTAACTTAAAGGTATATTCTGGTGTACATTAACCTCAAAAAGTGTGACAAAGTTTTATTGTGAAACTTTATTAAAAGTAATTGTCTCCTTGAATTATTTATTTCAATGTGTGTGTATGTTTTGTTTTGTTTGTTTTTTTTAGGGTCCATATTGTTACGAGTTATTCTCCATCATGATTCACTCAGGAAGTGCATCAGGAGGTCACTATTATGCATACATCAAGTGAGGTTTATTTATCTTATCATGTATACAGTCATGTGGTCAGTTTTACTGAGAATCGAATGATCTCTTTCTGTTGCAAGTGTGTTCTGTGTTCCATAAGATTGAAATTGCAATGTTTTCCTCTCCTAATTTCTGCAGATCTTTCACTAATGGGGAGTGGTACTGCTTTAATGACCAGAGTGTCTCAAGGGTAAGTGTTATGGTCACAGTAATACAAAAAAAATTACATTCATATCACTTTCTAGCTAATAGAGGGCATTAAATTTTTTTGAAAGTCTTTGGGAATTACATTTCTGAGACTTAGTAGAGAGGCACATTGTATAAAGATACAGAAAATAAATAAATAAGGAAATCAATAAAGTTCAGAAACTTTTGTCAACTTTTTAAGCTTTTAAAAATGACCTAAAGCAGTTGGACATTGTTGCCCTGAGCCTTTCAATTTAGGTTAAAGGTACTTTGAAAAATGTATGACCATATTCCACAGGTAGAGAGGAGAAATTAAGTGGCCATGAATTTTATTCCTTTGTTTTCTTTTCAATTCCTTCATTATGGATTCAATTAGGTCAGTGATGATGACATTGAACGAACTTATGGAGGATTTGAATCATCAAGGACGTACTATTCTTCTGTCTACTCCAGGTAAGGTTTGTTTTTGAGTTACTGTCAGTATATGTAGTAAGTTGAAATAGATATATCTTATTGAATGTTTTGTTGTGTAGCATTGCTGAGTATTGTTACGAGTTGTGCCATATTTCAAGGCTGTGCTCTAAGGAAAATTGAATGGAGCCCAGTGCTCTGAAATTGTGAAATCCAGGGTGCCTAGCATATGCTTTTTATGAAAAAAAAAAACTAAAATTCCTGAGTCACCCAAGAGCAAGAGTAAGGCACTAAAGGCCACTGGGCACTGCTAGACCACACCCTTGTATTTTGATGAGCCCATAGGGCAAATCAAAGTACAAACAGTGAGTAAAAATACCCAGCGATACTACACAACAAAACGTCTAATAGGGGATTTATTATCCAACATGCCAAATTGTTATTTCAGTGTGGATGAATTTTGTGGATTTTTCTAGAGTACAATTATCACTTGATGTTTGTACTCGTTTCGCATATTATTTGTACTTTACGAAGCACAGTTGGGTAATAAATATAGTTAGTTGAAGTAAATGACCTTATCTTTATTGAAAATGAGTTCTTGACAGCCAGTAAAAATAATTGCTTACTTTGTCACTGGAAGTTAACCACCTCTTTTTAGTTAGAGATGGAAAAATACCAGTAGCCACATATATATTGTACTAACAATGATATGGCTACCTACTTGAAAACTTTCCAACAAGTTTAGGTACTTGACCCTTTATCATGCTTTGGCACTAATTTATAGTTATACAACTGTTACAGTAACTGAACAATGTGATTGTTTCTTGATAATATTTGCAGTTCAACAAATGCATACATGCTGATGTATAGACAAGTCAATAATGAAAGAAATGCCAAGTTCCTAGAGCAGTGTGACATGCCGGACCACATAATGGAGTTGATGCTAAAACTGAAAAATCAAGAAGAAGAGGAGAGAAAAAGGAAAGAAATGGAGAGGTCCATGTGCAAGGTAAGAAAGCATATGTGTGGAAGCTAATTTAAAGTAAGATTTGCATAGATTGTTTGAATCACAGATGGGAGATTTTGTGGCTTGCTGATTGGTGCACACCTGTTTAGATCAAAGAAGGGTTTATGCTGTTGCAAGTGTCATTGTGTTGGGTTCTTGGGCATGACACTTCACTCACCCTGTACTTTTCTCTATCAAGGACTATAGCTATAGGTGATTACCAGCAAACTGTAAGGAAGAATTTGGTGTATTGCTTAGGGGTGGAGTAATCCTATTCAATTAGAGTTGTGATACTTGCCCCTTAAATTCTATTCTAAGTGAGAAAAGCTGTCAGTGGCAGTATATGAATTTGTGAGGTCTCAATTTTTTACATAATAAAATTAATGTATTTTATTTTGCTCCAGATCAAGATTTTTTGTCAGCACCCCAGCAATAAGAGAATTATGGAGCAGAAATTGGAAATTAACAAGGATAAAACTTTGAAAGAGGCAGTATCTGTGGCTCACAAGGTGAGCTGCATAACGTAATTTAGCCTTTAATTCCATACAATAACAAGCAGACAAGTGAGGAGGAAAATGAAAATATGAATTAGGGGATTATTAGTTGATCCAATACCCAATTCTCAGAACTAACATTGTAAGAATTATATTGCAGACAGTAAGGAGAGTTACTAATGAGATCTTAGAAGAGAAAGGGTTGAGAAAGATTGTTAAATTTATCGACATCTTACTGACTACCATATTTACCTGTGTATAATACCATGTATAATGCACACCCTTGTTTTTAAACTAATTTATCAGAAAAAAAGTTTTTCATGGCAAAAAAGACAAGTTAAATATTCGTACAATTATTTATTAAGACAACAAGAATAAGGAGTTTTCTACTAATATTGTTAACATCAATATCTTTTACTACTTATTTATGACATTATTGAAATCAAACTTTTGGACTTCAAGCAAGGCCTAGCTAATTTGACGATTCCATGGCCCTGTGAATATTATGAGTGAGTAAAAATATGTCTGAAAAGTATTGAAGATTTTGTGCCATGTCGTCATATTTTTAGAATTTCAAACTAACACTCTGCAATTTTCTGGCCTTAAAGTCAAGTAAACAACAATATAACCACAATGAATTCAACCGCATGCACTTCAGATACATAAGAAATTTGCGCATTTTTCGCTGATAACAGCAAATTAAGAACTGCCTTAAATAAAGCTTTTGTCCTGTAATATTTCTTTCTCACTTTCTTTTTGCTTCTCATTGAAAAATTAATTACATGTAACATGAGATCTCCTCACATGCGGCCAAATTTGCATATTCACTTTGAAGTCTGATCCACGTGCCTGTTTGCACACTTGCAAAAATATTTTATTTGCGATTTTTGTCGTTCCTCTTGATTTAAGAGTAAAAACTTAATATGCTCCTATAATTTTTCATTGAAAATAATTTATTTAATCAAAGCTTTACATGTGTTACTTTTTAGTTGTGGTTTTAACGTATGCAAATTAAGACGTGTGTGACAAATAATGGAATCCGTGTATAATATGCACCACGATTTTGATGGTTATTCTTGCAGAAAAAGAGTGTGTATTATACACGGGTAAATATGGTAGCACTAGATGTGGTGCAGATGCAGAGCAGTATGGACTAAAGTTTAATTACAAGAGTTAAGAATGAGACATAATTATTTTGCCAACTACATTTAACAAGATCCTCACAGGACAATTTTGCTCCATTATGCCAGCTTTTCTCTTTGGAGGGGATTGTCCCGGCTGAACAGTGTAGAATTGTGAAGTATGACGAATACTACGATTACATTGAAAGGTCATTCGATGGTGAGGAGGTGAGTGTAATGCCTTTACAATCAAATCTGATGCATATGGTGCTATTGCAATAGACAATATATTATTGTATTCATGACATGTGCATCTGTGAGAGTGCTCGGTTCCTAATGTGAACAGAACAGAATGACGTCTGTACATGTCTTAAATAATTATGTTCATGAATCCATAGCAACAGTGTGTATTAGACAAATAATTATCATGAGGTAAAGAGAATTACTCGATGAGATTTTGGGCGTTAAAAGGTTAAATGATCAGAATTAACCACAGTAGATAGAAATATTTTCAACAGAAATACCTTGGAGGCAGTAGATTTTGAAGATTTTTTATTATTAACAAGAGGCATTTCCCCCCTTTTTTTCCCCAAGGAACAGGGAAAATTATACATTTTGTCCCTTATAACAAATACCCTAATATTTGCAATGCTTATTCCTAGATGATCTAATTAACTCTAATTGGACTCTGCAAGAAAGAGGTTGTCACTAGCCAAAAATAGAAACTCCAAAAAAAAATGTGTTACGTCACTCACCAAATGCATTTTACATATTACGTGCTTCTTTCTAAAATCTTGCTATATTTCCCTGGTGTTGATACTTCTAACAGTATATTTTAAAATACAGCTACTATTTGTAATTGATCTTGTACCTCCTCTCTCACAAACAGGATTACCCCATGGGCAAAGTTTTGAATGGTGTCAAACAGTCCTACATGTTTGACCTTCTCCTTGAAACAAGAAAGCAAGATGAAATATTTAAACCCTATAAACCTGGAGGTAATGTGGAACGAAATTGTTCCTTTGTTTGTTGATAACACCCAGAAACTACCAGCAAAAGTACTTTGTACATAATAATTTGAATATATCAACAAAGTTGAAATGGTAAATTTGCCACTGTTACAATTTTAAAAGCTGACGTTTCAAGCGTTAGCCCTTCGTCGGAGCGAAAGATGTATGTACTTTGTACATACGTAGGCTAATATGCTGGATAATGTTATGGTGCTGGGTCCAGTTGTTCAAAGGGCAGATTAGGCTATCTAACAGATGATCATTATCTAGCAGATAACTGATAACCAAACATACTGAGCTAACCACTGGATACAATTTATTCAGTGGAAAGTGACATTATATATCCACCCTTGGAACAACCAGGGCCAGATGGATTGCTATTTGGGTTACAGAGTAGTGGTGATATTTCATGGTTCAGCTAAAAAGAAATATCCATTCTTCTTTTATCCATCACTTACTGGTAAGTATGGTGAATAAGTTCAAGCTTACTGGGTAATAGTGTTAATGTACTTTCAATTGGTGTTATCATCAAATGTGTGAATAAAAACACACAAGAGTTACATTTGTCAATATTCATTGTTATACCCATGTGTCCTCCAGCACTCACTCCACAGTGGATTTTTTTTAACATGGTCTTTTTTTGCTCTTAGGTACAACAGTGAAAGTTCATGTGGTGCATCTAGAAAAGGAAAAGGTGGATCCATATGTTAATGTGCGGCCACTGCTGAGTTCAACTGTGGAGGATCTTTGTGATCTCATTCATGAGGTGAGAATAGTCCAGAACCTCCAGGAGACACTGTATGTTACTCATTGATCTGTTTTGTTGTTCCTCTCTGGGCAATTTTCTCTTTTAGTCTGCTTACCTTTGACAATGCTTTGGTCATTTTTTTTTTCAGGAGCCCTCAAGCTCCATTTAAAGATAGTTGCATTGAGGAAATATGCTTTGCAGGTTGTTTAGGACCTCCTTCCCCCCAACAACATCTTTTCAGCCCTTTTATTTCCTCCTTTTGTCTTTTACCCATTCTCTTCCAGCAAGACTTTGGGAGATTTAAGAATAGAATACTCCATAAAATATTATGTTTATGTTTGTACTGTTATTAAAAAAATTGATTAACTGTTTATTCTATTTGCAGAAATTCAATCTTCCTTTGGACTGTATGAGAGTTGTGTCTGAGGGAAACTACAATGATCTGAAGCTGCTAGATAACCCAAACAAAGTGCTAAAAGAACTTGGATTCTTCAAAAACAGCAGGGTATTTGAATGACCTATAACCGAACAGTTTGCATTGAGTTCAATGTATGATATACCGTAGCTATAAGAGACAGTGGTAGCTTAGTCTTTTACACATAAGGTCTGAATTGAAAGTTTGGGAGGCCTCTCTGTTCAGTGCTTGGTCAACACACTTTATTCTCAGTGTGTCTTTTTTCTCTGATGCATACAATATAATGTTGGGATGCAAAGAGTTGAAAAGGAATTAGTTCTGTGCACTAAATTTTATTTTTTCCAGAATCATAACAATCCATTTGGAAGTTTGGAAGGAGATTCTTTTAAATTGATTTTCATCATGTGACCTTAAAATTAGTTTTGATGGCAAATGATGTGGAAATTGTAAGGAGGAGTTTGTTGGTTAATAGGCCATTTTCAAACTATTTTCAAATAATTTAAAAATTCTTACATGGCTTAGAGGCAATAAAACAAAAGAAATTAATTAATATTTAACCCTCAACCTCTACGTGATTTCTTTTGTTTTATTCCCTCGAGCCTGGGAGCCAAGTTAACCAGTCTGCAGTCAACTTGGATTAGGTTATTGTCTAATACTGTACAAAATATGTGTAATAAAATATTTGTGGTTGTTATTTTCTACTAGGTGTTTGTGGAAGCTTCTGATAAAGAGGAAGAAGTCCAGTTCAAAGATTCCAAACTGTTTAAAATCCTAGATGTATTTCAGCACACTATTCAACTGTATGTTTTATTACCAGATCCATCCAAAAAACCATCAGGTATGTGGGGCCTAAAAGATTGTTAGTTTTAAACCTAAATTATGTGGCTACAAAGTGATCTGAGAATGATAGGACTTTTTACCTTCCCTTTAAAAATATAAATACATCTGGTTATCTAGTTTGGCATGGTTTGACAAACAAAATACTGTTGTTGATGTTTTGGAATAATAATTGACAAATAATAGATTTGACATTTGGTCAGAGAACTCCTCATGTACTAACATATACGTGTAAAACTCTTGCTAATAGAGAACACAAGCCGGTATATCTGTGAGACTGCAGTTGATTCAGAGAGGAGTGAAAAACAAAGAGGTGAGATGACATTGAGATTACAGATGTACACTAGTCTTATGGTAATGTGAAGTCTTCAAAAATTAACTCTTACACCTTTCTAGGAAATAATCCAGAGTTTTCATGTTTGTTGTTTAGAAAAAATTGTCCATGTGGATAAAAGAATCACCCTTGGAAAGCTGAAGGAAATTCTCCAGAGTGATGTTGAATGTTCACCAGAGTTTTTTAGGGTGAGTACTAGACAGTGTGTTTTATGTTAGTTGCCAACAGAGTTAGAGATGGCTTGTGAAGTTCCAAGTGTTTGCTTGTCAAGAACAGACATAGTGAGACTTTCTGTTTGTTATAATCATAGGTTTACAGAGTATACTCAAACAGCCAAGAAATTGAGTACAGCAAGTTAACTGACCCACTTACAAGCTTCAGTGATGATTCTAAGGTTAGTGCTGATGCTGAATTTTCCAGGAAAGTGACATGTTGCTATTTTCATGGTAGTTTGAATAAATTATTGTTTTAAGTGACACACCATTTGAGTTCCTTTTATGTACAGTACTTAAAAAGTGTTAGAATCATAGAAGCTGAGCCTTAAAAAGGAGCAATTTTTATGGTTACAATAAATGATAGTTGGAGTTAGGTCGAAGTTATGATGGCATAATTATTTTTTCAGAAAGGCTGATGCTTGCCTTTCCTCATATTTGTCTATAAGCAAAATGAGGAAAGAAGTTAGGGAACATGGGCTCTCTTTGGTCTGACCATTTGCGTGATGATATTCATGCAAATGGTGAATGATGGCATGAGATCATTTTGTTACACGACTCGGGCAGTCAGAGGGCCAATAACTAAAATCAACCAATCAAAATGCTCTATTGCTGGTCAATATTCTCTCAGTATTGGACCAGGCACTGTCCTGAATGGTCCCAAATGATACCGCACTTGTATCCCTTTGAACTTCAGTCGTATAATAAATCTCTTATTAACCAAGCTTGCTCGGGACCGTACTGGAAGAATATCGGCCCTCGGTCTTTTTTGTATGGACCTCGCTGCGCTC